GGAATATTACATAACCATAAAGAAGGACAATCAAATGAACTTCTTAGCAACTTGAATGTATTTAGAGTTTCTTATACTCAGTGATCTATTACAGAAACAAAGAACAGAGTACCACAAGTTCCCACTCATGAGTAAACTGTGAACATTTACCATAATACTATATGAAAGGGACTTACCATACTGGGATTCTGCTGGTGTGGGTGTAAGGTTGGGGATACAACATCAATAAGAGTACCTGATATAAAACTAAGCAAAGTGGGGATCAAAGGGAAGCTCAAACTTTACCTGTAAGATGACCACTTGTATACTTAATCCTGAATTGTACCCCACACTTTTAAAATAAAAAAGTAATTATTAACTATATTAATTAAAAATGTATGTATATTTCTGTGTATGCATGTGGTAGCTTGTAAATTATTTATACTTTTTTATAGTGAGCAGTAAAATTTCCATACAGGAAAGATCATATTTATATTTTGAATGATCCAACCTACTGTGAAATTCAGAAGCATTTGAGAGTAATTTTTTTTTATTGCCAGAGCAATGATTGAGAATACTTAGAAAAGTATAAAAATATTGAGTGGAGAGTGGTAAAAATCAACTTGAATTCAGAACTTCAGACTGATTAACTATTTAGTTACGTACTTGTTTTTTTCAGTATATATACACACACACATATTCATACAACCAAGACTCATAATTCTGTTTGGGTGTCCCTAACACTACCATAAACATTGTTAAAGTTTAATGTCTCACAATACTAAAGGAATAATGGAGTCTATTGATTTCATAAAGTATACCATTAAAGATTAATAAGATGAAACAGATTTATTCTTACTCTTTGTCACAAGTCAAAGAAATATATATATATACACATATGTATGTATATATATATATTTAAAGCTACAAATAAAAGCAAAGCACTGCAGTTAATCCTAAAATCTCAATGAAATAATAAGCCTAAATGGAGACATTCTCCCTAAACACTGAAATATTAAAATGAAGGCTTTAGGTTAATAGATTATCCTGAGGAAAATTATTCATAGAATTTTGACCATATGTAAAAATATCCAATTCTACCAGTTACTCAGCAAATGTTTGTTGAATCTGTTAAGTTTATTATTCTCATTTTTCTTTAGAGGAAATTGAGACACAGCTAAGTAGAAAATTTGCCAATAGTCTTCCTTACTCAATAGTAAAGTTAGAAATATAAACCAGATAGCTATGATGTTTATGATCAGTCTAACTTGTAAGAGATTCTATGTAATAAAAAATGCTGTTTAAGTATGTGACATATTTATGAAAGGGTTTTCATCAATGTTGTCAATTTTGAAATGTTGAAACAATGTAAAATTTGATACGTTTTAATCTACAAGCCTGGGTTTATTAAAAAACTACTATCTCAGAATTTTTTTTTAAAATCTAGGAACTATGTAACATATATGAATATGTAGATTGTAGATTTGGTCAAAGTGTATTGACGTTTATTGACGGCTAAAAATATTTAGCTGTCATGATTCATTTAAAACAGAGAGGACAAATATGTTCAAGATGTGCCTTAATTTATGGGCGCATGAAGTAATGTTTATGATAATAATAGAGTGGAAAGGAATATGTATTACTAAACTCAAATTATTTCTCATTTTCCATGGAAGGCTGAACTTCTGCCTGAATATTTTAATTGTCTTACTCACTGTTAAACATCAGAATTAAAGCTAAACAATTATGTGAATGTATAATATTCTTTTCATGCTGTGTGTATTTTTTTCTCACCACAAATTCATAAGAACTTTATTTTAAAGAAATGGGCAGTTATACTTCCTAAATGTTTTTAATGTGACTGTTATTTAGATTCAAGAAGTACATGTGCAGATTTCTTACATAGGCATAGTGAGTGATGGTGAGTTTGGACTGCAGTTGAGCCCATCACTCAGGTGGTGGACATGGTACGCAGTCAGTAGTTTTTAAGTTCTTAAACCTTGCTTTTCCTCTCCCTTTTTGGATTTCTCCAGTGTCTACTGATGCCATCCTTGTGCCCAAAATGATTTCAGTGTTTAACTCCCACCTATTAGGGAGAATATCCAGTATTCAGTGTTCGGTTTCTGTGATAATCTGTTTAGGGTGATGGTCTCTAGCTACATCTGTGTTGCTGCAAAGGACATGATTTTGTTCTTTTGTATGGATGTATAGTATTCATATGCATATATATTACATTATCTAGTCCACATTGATGAGTACTAGGTTCGTTCCATGTTTTTCTATTGTAGCTAGTGCTGTAATAAACATGCAAGTGCAGATGTTTTTTGGTACTGTGATTTGTGCTCCTTTGGGTGTATATCCAGTGGTGGCAATGCTGGGTTGAATTATAAATCTATTTTTAGTTGTTTGAGAAATTGCCAATCTGCTTTTCACAGGGGATGAACTAGCTTACATTCTCACCAGTAGTATAAAATCATTCCCTTTTCTCTATAACCTCACCGACATCTGTTTTTTTCTGATTTTTTAATAAAACCATCCTGATTTATGTGAGATAGTATTCCCTTGTAGTTTTGATTTGTATTTCTCTGATGATTAGGGATTTTGAACCTTGTAAAATATGTTTATTGGCCACTTGTTTGTCTTCCTTTGATAAGTGTCTACTTCTGTCCTTTGCCCACTTTTTAATCACGTTGTTAGCTTTTGTCCTGTTGATTCATTTGAGTTGTTTGTAGATTCTGGAAATGAGGCATTTGTCAGACATATGGTTTGCAAGTATTTTCCCCATTTCTGTAGGTTGTCTGTTAACTTGGCTGCTGGTTTCTATTGCTGTGTAAAAGCTTTTTAGTTTCTTAGATCCCACTTGTCAATTTTGGTTTTTGCTGCTTTTGATTTGAGGTCTTAGTCAAGTATTTATTGCATAGAATGATGTCCAGAAGGGTGTTTCCCAGACTTTATTCTAGGATTTTTTTAGTTTGAGATCTTACAATTAAGTTGTCAATCCAGCCGGGCTTGGTGGCTCAGCCTGTAATCCCGCCCTTGGGAGACTGAAGTGAATGGATTGTCTGAGTCCGCGGGTTCGAGACCCGCCTGGGCAGCTTGGCGAGACCTCATCTCTACAATAAATCAAAAAAATCAGCTGGGCGTGGTAGCGCATGCCTGTAATTCCAGCTACCTGGAAGGCGAGGCGGAAGGATTGCCGGAGCCCAGCGGGTCGAGGCTGCGGTGGCCGGGAGCGGCCACTGCACTCCAGTCTGGGCGACAGAGACTCCAACTCAAAAAAAAGAAAAAAAGTTGTCAATCCATCTTGAGCTAATTTTTGTATATGATGAGAGGAAGAGGTCAAGTTTCCTTCTTCTGCATGTGGTTAGCATTAACATACAAGGCTAGTACAGATATATGAGGGTTAGATCCTGCCATAGTGTTGTGGAGGAGTTGCTTAGTGGTCTGAAGCTTTCCTTGGACTTGTATCACCAGGGTCCCAAGGCAGCAGTTGGGGCTCCTGGGAATTTCTTTCTCACTTTTTCCCTCACTTCATCACTTTGAGGGACTTCTGCATCTCTGCTCTGGGTCCCTTTCTGGGTCAGCAGGCTGTCTGATTATACTCCTCCACCTCATGTGGGACTCACTACTTCTCTTGAGTTCCTGGGCGTGTGTTCTTCCATGTCCTGCTTTGAGTGTAGAGACCCTCTTCCTATTTTTGGTTCCTTTCCATGAGCGAGGTGCACACCAGCTATTTCTAGAGGACTATCTCGACCCCCATACTTTTTAATGTATTTTTGAGAGAAAACAAAAAAGTATATCTGGGCATTTGCCTGTTTTCAGTAAAAAGTGCTGTGGAGATATGAGAAACAGTGTACCTGGATGCACAGACCCTTAGATGCCAAAGGCATGACCATGTGTCCAGTTCTGAGAAAGGAAGGCAGAGTCACAGAGATCAACAAATGAACCTGAACCAGACATGCTAAGAAATTATGGGAACAGAAGTAATGTCCAACTGCCACAAATATCTAGTTGCAAAACTCCGAAGAGTCAGGAAAAGCATTTATTTGGAGAAAAACTTACACATATATATAATTTACATGACATTTTGAATACTGAACTTCATAAGTTTTCCATTGCTTCATAATTGACTGGGGTTTAAATATAGTTTATGCATTTTCTGAATTGTGTTGCACAACAGAGTAATTCTCAAGCATGAGGCATTTATCTAGCTTTCATTCATGTTGAGATTTTATGTATTCCTCTCCATTAAGCTTATATCTAAACATTGCAAGAATTTTATGCAGAAAAGTAAATAATTGAAGCAGTAGGAGGCAGTTTTAAATTCTATGGCACTTTTGTGAACAATTTAAGATGAATTTAATTTTATCTAATGAAAATGAAGATCAAAGGGATAGACTGATTATTGCATTTTAAGAAAAAGTTTAATTCTAATGAAATTCATAACATTCATACAAATTAGGAGCATGATCATTTAGACCTGGAGAGGAGGTATGAGCCTTTTGTTCCAAGCCACTTATGAGAAGATGATTAAAATGGAATTGAGGGCTGGGAACAACTGACACAGTATTACTGCTTATAAAAGGAGATTTTTTTTTTTACACGATGGATAATATTTGTGTTTGTGTTCTCTCTATTATGAATCAGAAAATTCATTGACAAATGTGAGGAGGAGACAATGGTAGCCAAAATAATAAATAAACTATGTATGATTTTATAAGAAACTGTGAAAAGAATGTTTCTAAAATTTCATGGCTTCTTATCCATTTACATAGCATGCATTTTACATCTCACAGGTTCTCCACAGTTATCTTAATCTAAGTTTACTTCCTTCTAACTCAAAACTGTATGCTATCTGGGTCTATCTTTAGTATTCCACTTAGATTAAAGATATTTGTAAAGATAAATAACCAAATATAAATTTGGAGGTTGAGATTTATGTTGTTTGAAGTAAGAGCTTTTCAACAGATATTTTGAGTTACAAGTCGACCAATGACATTATATTTTGATCTGATTTTCAGGCAGAATGCCTTTCAAGTCATTGCTGTGGACGGAGTCTGCAGTGGGATTATTCAGTGCCTCTCTGGTGAAGACTGCATGGACTGGCTACAAGCAATAGCAACTAATATTTCAAATCTCACAAAGCACAATGTAAGTAGTGATTCAAGAAATATTTGGTCATAGAGTTTCTCAGCCTTTCGATAAATGTAACTTTGTAACAACTGTCTGGCATTCTTCTAAGAATGAACACCATATTCATCATGGAAAACCATTGTGGAACACTTTTTGTAGGAACATTTCTTTGGCCTTGAGAGTTCTAGCCAAAATCATTTCAATAATATTCATATGCAGGTTTCCATTTGCAAACATCATAAGCATCTATATTAGTTAAATAAATCAAATATGTATTTAGCATATGGACACTAAATATATTTAAGTAAAGGCATTTAGGACTAATACAGCACTGAATTTTAAGAAGGCATTGTTGATTTGCCTTTGGTAATCTTAGAATTGCAGCCAGTAGTGTTTAGAGAAGTAAGAGGCTGATATCACGGAGACTGAAGATCTTGTACGGATCAGGAATCATCAGAAGATGTCATGGCGGGGTCTAGTGACTCACACTTAGAGCAAGGTTTATATTTTTAGAAGTTGCTTTTTTTTTAGTTTCTCTCCTTTCACTCCAACTCTTTTTTTTTTTTTTTGAGTTGGAGTCTCACTCTGTCGCCCAGACTGGAGTGCAGGCCGCTCCCGGCCACCACAGCCTCGACCTGCTGGGCTCCGACAATCCTTCCGCCTCAGCCTTCCCAGTAGCTGGAAACACAGGGCATGCGCTACCATGCCTGGATGACTTTTTTTTTTTTTTGAATTTATTGTAGAGATGAGGTCTCGCTGCCCAGGCGGGTCTCGAACCCGCGGGCTCAGGCAATCCACTCACCTCATCACTCCAACTTTTATTCTTTCCTTATCCTACATCCCTTTAGTGTCACCATGTCTCACTAGCATTGCTCTTTAATAACCTAACCAATCCTTTCTCCCTGTGACTTCTGGGAGGAGTATAGTCTGACAAAATATGCAAAGCTGTAAGCCTCACTTAATTGAGTACCAATGTAGGTGTCACTAAGGATTATTATGTTTTAGAAAAGTTGGCATCATCTTGACATTACGCCTTTGTCTTCATTCTCTCCTTTTTCTATCACTGTTCAAGCAAAGTTGGGGCAGATAAAAAGTCCCGAGGGGAATTCAGACGTCCAATATAATGAACATCGTAGAAATATGTAACTCGCTCACCAACAAATTAATGTACAAAGTTGTCCAGTATTCTTGCACGACTTTTCTTTAGAAACCCAAAAAATGATTGTGACCAAAAAAGGTAGGGTGCAGTGGCTCAAGCCTGTAATCCCAGCTCTTTGGGAGACTCAGGTGAGGGGATTGCCTGAGCCCAGGGGTTCTAGAACAGCCTGGGCAACTTGGAAAGACCTTATCCCTACAATAAATCAAAAATTAGCCAGGCATGGTAGCTCATGCCTGTATTTCTAGCTACTTGGAAGAATGAGGTGGATGGATCGCCTGAGCCCAGCAGGTCGACGCTGGGGTGGCTGTGATTGTGACACTGCACTCCAGCCTGGGTGATGGAGTGAGACTCCAACTCAAAAAAAAAAAAAAAAAAGAGGATTATCAGTCACTGAAGATAAAGGTTTTGCTTCTAGTCTGTGGCTATCTGAAATAGTACTACCATAATGGCCGTGTGTATGGAGTTGGAAGCTCTGGGAGTGGAGTTGATAGTCATCAGATATGTAGTTTTACTGGGTGATGCCAAATGTTTTCCAACTGGCTGTGCTGTTTGCCCTCTCACTCTCAGTTGTTAAAATATTTATTTCTCTAAATCATTTGCAACATTCTATAGAATCCTGCCTTTAATATTTTCGGTTATCTGGTATGTGGGAAATTGTGTTTCAGGTGCGAATAAAGGCAGATCAATTTATTTTCATGGTGTGTAAATAGTTGCAAATATACCAAGAATTATCCAGAGGCATCACCCCATGAAGTGGCTTAACCAGGGAGTGCCTGGACTGGACAAGAGTGGACCCCTCATGACTCAGCCAAGTCTTTGCTGATGTGGTAGTTTCATCATAGTAGAGTTGCAGTTGCACAAGGGGACGACAAGGTTTCAGACTGTCAAAAAAAGAAAGAAAAAGGAGAAATGTGGTGTTTCTCAGAGGATTATTTCTCTCTCTCCTTCCCCTGACTTATAGGGATGTTTCTAGAGTTAAAAATAAGAAAAGGAAAAAAAAAACCTCCTAAGAATATGAGTATTCTCTATTTTATTACAGAACTGAGTAGAGTGCCTTAAAAATGAGTCCTAGTCCTATATTTATGAGAAAAAATATTTTTTAAAGAACAGGATGTTAACCTTTAAATCTACAGTTTTTCTTCTTACCTAGATCCAAATTTGCATTGACCTAAATCCTAGATAAACTCTTATGAAATCTGTGTTTCTTCAAAATGGATATTAAGTTAGAATGCTGTGATACAGCTGACAATAATTTGAAAAATTAATGCTTTAGTTTTTTTGTTGTTGTTTAAGTGAATATGCAAATGTTTTACCCTCTGTAAGCCTAAGGTAGAAGAAGTCACATTTTGCTGCTTGTTTTTTTTTTTTATCTTTATAACAATTGCTTATCATGAAACTTACAAAAGCAAATTTTTCTATATTGTTTGACTGCCAGGAGATTCATATTTCTACTGTGGTAATACTGCTATATTAAAAGTTATCTATTTGTTCTTTCAACTCCCTTTTTATATTCTAATTGCATGTCCTTTTGTTCTTGTAATCAGTTCTTGTTAAAAATTACTAATGATTACAATGTACTTTGATATATAAAGTATTACATAAATGTTAAAAAATTATTAGGCATAGCAGTAAAAAGTGAAAGTCACATTGACTTCAGAGAAGGCACAATGACTATTGATATGGCTGGTTGGTTTGAAATAGTCGATATGGTTGATTGACATGAAGAAAGAAATCAGGAAGGTTGACAGTAACTAGGAAAGTGTTGTTTGGGATAGTCAGATGTTTATTCTTGTCTTCTTTTTCTTTTATTTTATATTTTGAGTTAGTCTTACTCTGCCACCCAGGCTGGAGTGCGGTGGCATGATCAGAGCTCACTGTAGCCTCAACTTCCTGGGCTCAGGTGATACATCTACTTCAGCCTCCTGAGTGGCTGCCACCACATATGGTTATTGAAAAAAATTTTTTTTTGTAGAAACAAGGTCTCACTAGGCTAGGCTTAAATTTCTGGGATGCAGTAATCCTGTAATCAGTTCCTACTAAATGGCCTTGACCTCCCAAAGTATTGGGATTATAGGAGTGAGCCACCATGCCTGATTTTTTTTTAATTTTAAAGAACAACTAGAAGTAATACTATAGAAAGATGTAAGAGTTTCTCTTTATTTACCAATATTCCAGGATGTATAAGCTCATTTAAGTCTAACTGACTTAAATGAATAGTTTATCTATTAATAATAAGTGCAAAGAGAAAAATATTGAGATAAAATTTAGGGAAATTTCACCTAAGAGATTATTAGGCATAAAAACACATTTGAAAAAAAGATGAGACTGCATATAAAATAATTAGGTGTAAAAGTTTTAAACATTTACTATTGAAATGACATAAGACATATCTGTGTATGTATGCATAGTTAGAAGTAAAAAGAAGAATGTCAGATACATAATATTATGAAAACTTTTTATTGCATTTTACTTTTATGTGCTTTTATTTTATTTATTTTTGCATTATTGTATGTTAGATACAAGTGGTACATGTGCAAACTTATTACATAGGTATACTATGTGATGGGAAGATTTGAGTTTTTATTTTGCCCATCCCCCAGGTGATGAGAAATCATATTTTTGTGTAAAGTCAGCTGGAGAATGGACAGAGAAAGAAAAAAACAAAAACTTGGGCTAGGCTTACTGGAACAACATGCTAACAATCTTCATTTCTCTTTGCTCACTAATTTATACAAGTGATAATTTTGTGAAACAGGGGTTTTCATACTCAATTTAATTTGAAATTCCATGAAATTATAGTTGCTGTCTTAAAAAAATTTTCTCCCAGAAGCTATTGAATATGCTGGTGAAAATCTTAGACATACACTTAGACAAATGTTGCACTAAGAAAAATGGCAAAACAAAAACAATCTAAACCAAAAGCTAGCAGAAAAAAAGAAATCAACAAAATGAGAGCACAATTAAACAAAACTAAGGCCAAGAAAACCATAAAAGGATCAATGAGTTGAAACATTATTTCTTTAAAGGATGGATACGATTGACAGATTCCTAGATAGATTGGCCCTCCCCAAAAGACGAATAAACAAAAAAATTGAATAAGCACAATTGGAAATGAAAAAGGTGACATTATACCCGATCCTGAAGAAATGCAAAAGATTATTGGAGATTTATTATAAACATCTATATGTGTATAAGATAGAAAATGTAGAGGATATGGATAAATTTCTCAAAGTACATCATCCCAAGATTCAAACAGAAAGAAACTAAAACCTTGAAAAGACCAACAACAAATCAAGAAATTAAAAATCTCCCTACTAAAAAAAGTCCTGAACTGGATGGTTTTACAGCTGAATTCTACCAGATATACAAGTAAAAGCTGGTATGAATGCTACTGGAAGCAGTGAGAAGGAAGGACTGTTCCCTATCTCATTTGACAAATAGAATATCATCCTGATACCAAAAAATGGCAAAGACACAACAAAGAGAGAAAACTACAGGCCAATATACCTGATACACATAGACACAAAAATCTTCAACAAAATACTAGCAAACTGCATCAAATAGCACATAACAAGGATCATTCATTATGATCAGATTGGTTTTCTTCCCAAGATGCAAGTCTGGTTCAACATATGAAAATCAATAAATGTAATCCACCAACAAACAGATGCAAAACCAAACACCACATGATTATCTCAATAGACACGGAAAAGCATTTGATAAAATTTAATATCCCTTCTTGATTAAAAAAACAAAAAACAAAAAACCTAAAACATTCAGGCATCAAAGGATCATTCCTCAAGTAATGAAGCTATCTATGACAAATCTGCAGCAAGCATTATACTTAATGGGCAGAAGC